ATTTTAATATTTTTTCAATATTTCTTTATTATCATTTTTTAAAATTTACTTGTAACTTTTTTATATTTTTTGATAATTTTTTTAAACTTCTTTTGGATTGATTAAATTTTGATTATATTTTTTAATATTTAATTAGAATTTATTTCAGATTCTATTAGACTTATTAGGATCTTATTAATATTTTTTTTATTAACTTTCTATAATTAAATACTTGGTATATTCTCAACTTAAAATTCATGTTATGATGGTTCGTCTAAATCTACTTGTTGATGAGTATAGCCTTAGTGCCACCACAATTATTACTCCCATTGTGTCTATTCAACCACATTCCAAAAAGTCATTGCACAAAGGTTCTAAATGGCCTTTATGATATAGATCCTCTAAGACCAATTCACATTCATCCTAACTCTCTTATGATTTTCAATTACATTATTGACATATTATATTTTTTTTAAAATTCAAACCATCAGAGATTGATTCTAAATTTTCTAATTTTTCTTCTTCCCTTATTAGTTCTCTAATAAATAATTCAAAGAAGATGGTATATTTATTTACCAAATCAATGCTCAAGTTTTGTATCCACAAAGCATTGATCCAATAGAAATTGCATTTAAATACTATTTGGATTGAAAATACAAATTTGTTGAAGTATTATAATCACTTTCAAAATAATATGAATATTCAATAGTACAATGAATTTGTTTAGACAATAAATCTCAATGAAAAATATTCTATATTTATTATTTAAAAAATTAAGATGAAATATTCACCTCAATATTTGAAGGTGTTTTTATGTAGAACAAGACCACTTATAAGCATCTTTATCTAGACATTAAACACTTTGCAAAAAATAGTGCATCACAATAACTACAAGTACGAGATCTATAAGCTTGAACAATGGTATGTTGAGTTCATGTTTACTTGACTCCGTGTATATTATATATATATATATATATATATATATATATATATTTTGCAATAATTATAATAAAATTCAAAAAGATCACTTGTACTTGTACTTAATGACATGCAATATTAAATACCTCAATTGTGGCATGATTATGGACAAACATCTCTAATTTGAATTTTGTCATCTTAGTTGCAATCCATATGCCAATATTTCTATTGATCCATTCCTCACCTTATATATTTTTTGCTATCTAATACATTGTTGTAAGCACAATGCACCACTTTCATTAGGATCTATAATTGCTGAACAAGAATAACACTAGAATTAAAATAAATGCAAGTGAGATACAAAGATATCAGAGTTATATAAAGAAATATATTAGACTTGTGAATCATGCAAGCATAAGATGAAAAAATTGGATCAATTTGATGCAAAAAGACAAAAGACAATCCAAGTATTAGCAATCTATAACAAACTAGTATCTTAAATGTTTTATTATTTTCAAAAAAATATTAACAAATATTTGACAAAGCTATATTAGAAAATGGTTGACTTTTTTTTTTTTGAGGGCAACAAAGACTATGCAACATGGCTTGTAGTTGCCAATGAGGCCATGGAACAATATATATATATATATATATATATATACATAAGGTATAGTAGATTGCATCTTAGATTTTTTCACATTACACATTAAGATAAAAAAAGAAACAACATACCATAGACCAATATGAAAATACCATCCGTGACCTTTAATTTTTTTTAGCATATAGTAGACACAAGCTTAAAGAAGAATAAGGCTCAATTGTAGTTCATGAGGCTACCTTCCATATTACATACCATTAAGTTGCAATATTAGAAACAACCAACAAAATGACTAACCAACGCCATAATGAAATTTTTGCTATAAATCCCTAATTATGACAAGAAATATGTGAGGCTAAAGAACAAGGAGGAATGACTGCCAAGAAATTGGAATAAAAGACTCAATACATGGAACAAGAATACCTTATTGTAGAAGTAATCCAACAAAATTTTGAAGCCAATTGTGCTCAGAAGTACATATCATTGCCTTCAACATAATACAATTGATATAACAAAGTCTTAATATTCAATAAGTCAAAAAAGATGCATTTATACAATAATGTAATATACACAAGATTAATATATTGGAATTATTGGACAAATGCAAAAGATGAGAACTAGATGAAATTAGATGGAAGAATAAAGCAATGGACCTAGTAGAATAATAATTTTAGTATTTTCTTAGGAAATTCTAAATCCACTATGATATAATTTTTAGATTTTAGTTCCATCTTTCTAGCCATAGTTTCTAATCTTAAAACTATAGATGTAGGTAAGTGATGTAGAATAAGATGTTATCTCAATAGTTTTATTCATTGGTTTTAGGATACCTTAAGTTAGTCACCACAAATATATATATATATATATATATATATATATTGATATTGGATAAAGAATTTCATGGAAACAATGATGATAAGAAAAATGAGGCCATGAAACAAGAAGTAATGGATAAAACAATATTAGCTTACTTTCAAAGTAATTCAAACTACACCTATTTATATGAAGATCTTGATGTAGAAGCAAAGTGTCCAATATAAAATTGAGTAATAGAAAAAACGATTTTTGATTTCTATAAATATGTATCAAAAATCAAAGATATATATTTTTTTACTTACAACATAGTCTAGCCAATGTCATTACTAAATTGTACAAATAATAACCACATCCTTCTTGGATAATAAAGCATTTTATCAAGTTTCAAAAATCTTGTTCATGGACTAATAGATATCCTTAAAAGTTAGATGAATTAACACCACAATGTATCTAAGGATAGAATGCAAGCTTGCAATGAGGGTGTAATGTCAATGCTTTGGATAACATCAATAATCTTTAAGAAAAACCACAACAAAGAAGGATGATGATACAATAAGAAGATAGGATTAAAAGACAATTAGTTGTATGAGTTTCATGAATTTAGAATAGAATCAATAATTAGGAAACTTTTTAGGTATTAAAAGAACAAGTGAAGGAACACATGTCTCTTTCTCTCTCTCTCTTCAGAAGTCAGATGTTCAATAGTAAGTAAACAAAGCAAGCTTGTTTGTCACGTGTTCGGAAGCATTTTGGCTAAGCAAAACAATGTAACATCTTGTACTCAAATGAATAAAAGAAAAAGCATTAGCCCATTGTCTTAAAAGTACTTGTAAACTTGGTGGTATTGCAAAAATATACCATACCAAAAGAAGCATTTATGTCTTAGATGCATCCTAATATTGCAGTTATTGTTCCATGATTCTCCATTGACTAGCAAAATCTTGAGCTAATAGCCACATCCAAAAAATATTTATTGATGAACATAAAAATCTAAATTTTAGTGTTTTAGTATAAAAAGAGTATGTTGTAAGGAATGAAAAAACAAATCCCTCTCTATCTTCTATATGTAAAAGAAACTATTCTACATTGTTTTTGATGATCTTTTGTTAATTCAAGCACATAAAATTGTGCACTCCACTGCTACACAACCCAAGCATCAAACTACACTTAATTTTAAACATACAATACATGAGAAGAATCTCTCAGCCACCTTCAACCCCAAAAAACGACACTTTGGCCCTTCGACTTTGCTGTTTGCCACGAGACGCTTGAAATTCCACAGGTAGACATAATCATTCGTAGAAAACGTTGCTCTCAAGACAAAGTTATTCCAAGGTCCATTTATTATTAGAAAACGGCAAGATGAGCTGGTTCAGACATTAAATTCTATACTAAAATCTCTTCAGAAACAACCGAGTCTTGTTTGGAAATCCGAGAGAATATGGACCAGCAAAGAAATATTCGGCAAAAGAACAGGTCTAGAGTATAATGCAACCTTATTCCTCCACTTGCTGATACAAATAGAAAACCAACAAACTGCTTTTCTCCTCGCACAGTAGTTACTGCGGCGCATACCACATAAATGCGAAGAGTCCGGTCCCTTTTTGCTCCGAAATATTAAAAAAATACAAACTACAAACACACACACACACACAGGAGAGAGAGTGAGCATAAGATTGTGGAAACATGGAGGGGTTTTTCTAGACCCTAGTGTGAAATGAAGCTTGGGGGAGGGGAGGAGAGTTCGGCGCCGGTGAACAGGAGCAGTAATCGATATAAATAGCGTAAGTTCAGGCAAGTCGGAATCCACATGGCCCCGCCAGCTAGATTTCGATTAAAAGTCAAGCCGACTGATTAATCCATGCGGCACCAGCTGGCGAGTATGTACAGCAGCAAATATTTACACTCAGTGGACTACAAGCGGGATTTACTGCTTTAGTAATGGTTCACAACTGGTGGAGAATGCCCACAAGACCAAGTGAAAAAGCTCGATCGTTGGATAGATCGAAAGAGGATTCACGGATCTGTGAGATGGCAACTGGGCATGGTCACGACATCGGAACGAGAATAGTTCGAAGCGATAGAAAGATGAGGGAGCAGCACTTCCCCTGGTTCCGGCTTGGAACCTTGGGAGTAACCGTAATTCAGATGCCTGGAGTCGCATGATCCGGCGCTCCATCCGCTGCATAGTCGGTAAGCCACCTGGAATCTGGCCCCACGTCAGATGTTCACCCAAGTCAAATTGGACGTTTCCTGCACCGGGCAATCGGTGCGCATCCCGATGACGCGGATATGCCGACGTGTATTCAATTTCCTCCGTCGCTTGCCATGATTCGACCAGTTTCGGTGCAGGGCGGAGGATTGGTGGGGCATTTTCTGTTAATTTCTACTAAGTTACTGAGTCACCACATATTGTTATTGCAGTTATAGGCATGTTGACCACTTGCAAGGATCGATGAGCTCTCTGGGGCCTGGTTGCAGATTGTGGGCTAATAGTGAGTGAATCGGCCCGTACGTGCACGACCCTTGCTGGAGTGAAAAAACCAGTGTGTGCAACTTGACGAAGAAATTGTAGTTGGGGTGGTGATGGTTCTCGAATGGTCACCATGGTTGACCTACGCGCCACGTCGTAGGCCTCCAATCCCCAGCGGACCATCTCCGCTGATGCTCTAGGTGGTGAGGCTCTGGTGTCGATTTCCTTCAGTTTATCTTTCGAGTGCCCCCGGAGGTGGTTTTCGTGCTTCTCGTTCCTCGGTACACCATCACCAGTTTGAGTTCACCGCTTTGCTTGCTTGCGTTGTGTTCGTGACGCTTGTTTGCTCCCTTCCAGTTACACTTCTGTCTTCATATATTCATTTCTTCCTTTTTATTGCCGTTCGTCACTCTGTCGGTTTCCTTGGCGGCGCACTATCCAGGGTTTTTGTTTTCCGACACTCAACCGTTTGTAAGAGACGCTCAGGAGTTTGTGGACTTGGGTGGCGTAGAGCTAGTCTTCGTCAGTTGGTAGTGAATGAGCGTTGATCAGTTAGTCTACTTCCCTGGGAGTGGGCGGCGGAAACACTTTGCGATTCTCGAGGTTGGGATTAGAATGTGGAGCACAGCTGGTTGGTTTTAGGATTCACTAGTTTCATACAATAGCGAAACATTTGCAGGGTAGGGAGGAATACGTGATTTTCTTCAGCTAGTTTTTCCTGATATGATTTGTAGACGGGCCGCTAAGTTCGTCCGTGACGGTGAGGACAAAACTGTAGACAGATTAGGCGGACGATTCTTGCACTGGATTCAAGGTCTCGCAATTTGCATTGCAGTCCAGATTTTCAGGCAATCTTCCTAGGGAGCAAGTAAGTACATTTACTAGTTGTGCTCGATACATGGTCTTGACTCTCGTTGCCTGTTGAGGGCATTGCTGTCCGATTCTTTGAACTGGAAGATTGCTATGTACCGCTAAATTTGGATGATCCCCTTTTGTTCCTGCAGAAGTATACCCAGCTGGTGAATCCTTGAGAAGCAATGACGTTGCAGCAGTGGATTCCTTAGCTAACGCCGCACAGGAACTAACAAGTAAACCTGGATACTTCGACTGATTTAAAGTGACAAGGATAACCAGGTCGGGCCAAAGGATTGGTTCAAAATGCCTCACGGGGATCTCCATGTGTACCTGGAAGGCGCTCTTAACATCAAGAATACCGCCTTCTTAGGTAATGCCTCGCTTGCAGAATACTAATTGTTCTTGCCTCTTCGCCCCCAGAAACTTTGGCTTACGAGCAACGGAACTTACATGCTCGACCAGATCGAAGCCAATGCCATATTTTCAACTATGTTGGTTTTAATTGAAGACCTCGGAATACTGAAGTGTGGTGATTGGATCCGTGCTTTGAAGTTAATTAACCAATACAGGATAATCCTAGATCTGAGTTCAAAAAATTGCTATCTCTGAGCTTTGGCAGCGGCTAAGGATGCAGTGGACTTACGTGGTGTATGATTACTTGGTTTACATGTGCTGGAGCCAGCGATAGCTTTCGTAACATAGTTTTGTATTGAATCCCTCATTTCATTAGACTTCTCTTGAGACATGTCTTGAGTTTGCAAATGATCCTGAGCTGGACAGTTTTCAAGTTTGTGTTCCCTCGGGGATTGGTTTCTTCTCACTTCCTAGTTATTCTCTGAGAGAGGTAGGATCCTGTCTAACGGGAAGCTTGGCCGCAACCAGTACAAGTATACTTGCAATACTTGACAATCACTGGTTCACTGTGTCTTTATTGTCGTAGTCTTCTTTAAGATGTAAAGAATGTTGTCTCTTGTGAGCTATCGTAGTGCCACATTGATCGGCTTTACGAAAGAACGTTTTCTCTGAAGCTCCCTTTTTTCGCACTTAGTGGATTTTGACCGTTTTTCATTGTTATGTGACCTTCATCGATGTATGAAAGGGTTAAGAAGGGCTCGTGAACTAGAATCGAAAAGAATGCAGTTTACGGCATAAGAACCGGATCCTCAAATATAACTGAGGATGAAATATAACCGTCTTAGGGTTACTTTGGTGTTCACCACCGACCCCCCCCCTCCTTTTTTTTTTTTTTTTTTTTTTTTCGTGAAGTAATGGCGTAGGATTGTTCGATTGCACGGAGGCACGGTCTATCAGGATTGAAGGGTAATCCTCTTGAAACAAGAAACTAGGTTTAGGTAGTGCATACAATAATTACGACCATTTTACTAAAAGAGCACAGATGGCATTCCGTGCAACGATTCTGAATGACCGTGTAAAGTTCTGCTAGTGGATTGCGTTTTTTATTGAGTGGCGTCAGAGTCCTGATCTTTTCATGTTTTGCTTGTCAACGGAAGATGTTGATCTTTTGAGCTTGTTGGTGTGCAGGCAATAGCAGCCCGTATTGCATTCTCACAGTCGGCAATCAGTCATTCCAGTCTCATGTCGCTAAAGGTAGAGCTCCCTCTTAAGGATACTCTTATTCCGCTACTGCTCCCTTGTTATTGCGTGTCCAGGGCTTGAGTGTATGGACTTGTTACATTCGACTTGAATTGAGATTTGGGAGAACGGTTTCACTGTAATTTACAGGTGTTGCAATTCTGGTCTCGCAGATGGAGGAAGTAGGCCCTACTGGAACCAGACATTCGAATTCAAAATTGACAGCAGCACAAATACAATGGGGATTCAAATTAAGGCGAGGCATGCCATGAGGGATGATGATATAGTTGGGGAGACCTCGTAAGAGCTTTGATTTTATCTACTCGTCAACTTAGAATGTTGGAAGGCCTTGCTCTCTAAACAACATGTTTCACACTAGATCATTAGTGCTAAACTTTTGCATGTTCTCACTGGGAGGGTTTGGGGGGGTGGGGGGTGGGGGTCATTCTGAGAGTCACGAGGTTTGATGTCGTTCCAGAGGTTGGCATCTTTCACAGAAGTAAAGGCCAGTATGCGAATTGTAGTGTAATGTTTCGATTTCTGATGATCGCTAACTACGCATGGTGATATCTAACACACTTTTGCATGTTCTCACATGGTTAATATTCAGTCTTCAATTTGTTGAAGTGTTTCGAAAAGTTCATAGCATCCCTACCTCTCCATATACTGTGTATCGTAGTGGGAGAAGCTACGGCGAGATCAGGATTGGGTTAACCTTTTACGCCAAAAAGGTGTGTTTCAGTAATACCGTCACATGAGCCGATTCGTTCGTTTTCTTACACTAATGCATGTCTCTTCATTTTTAGTGATTTGTTATCAAGAAACTAGTTCTTAAACGGAATGGTTGAACATGATCTCCTTAATTGACATCCTCTGGTGCACGTGCCAGAAACCAACGTCTCAACATCCAAATCCACATCAACCTTCTAACCAAAGGCCGCGTGGCCCGTCCAATTTAAGCCCTATTCCAAGTTGGGGACATGGATCGGATTATGAGGGCACCGATGACAATTCGTCTAGGGACGGCTCCAGCCGCAGGCGAGACTCAGTTGATGCCTACAACGACACTCCATCGCCACAGAGAGCTTTTCCACCATGTAAACTAACTCACCTTGCTCTATGATCTCCATGTTCATGTATGAGGTACTCGTCAGCAATGTTTCGTACAACGACGAAAACATGGAAAATTTATCACATCATTAGGCATCTTCTATGAACTATGGATAGAAACGTCGATCTGTAGGTCATTGTTTGCGAGCTGATTCCTAGCCGTTGTTTATTTTGTGCACAGCTTATGATAACGAGACGCGCCGCAGAAATTCATATCCCATAGAGGCCAATCAGCCGCCTCCTCAGCCCATCCAGCAACAGGATCCTCGAAATCACCATACACGTTCACAGTCAGGAGATGGTTCAAGCCATGGAGGGCGTAAAGCACAAACTCCTGCTAATGGTCGCGGTGCCCCTCCAAATGGTTCTGCAGGCCGTCCGGTATTTCCTGCGAGCATGCGGCCTCCACCACGTGCTGATAAGGAGATTTCTGTGGAAGCCAGTCACGTTAACACTGCAGGTCAAATAAATCCCTTGATGACCTCTCGGACTCGGCCTCCACCAGATTACTCTTTTGCAGATGTTGCTTCTCCTTCTTCGGGCAGGTATGACTTGCCGCAGATCCCCACCATTTCGGAAATTTATAACGCTGTCCCAATCACAAGTCCCGCGGGGGAACCCGAGCTGTCTGCGGTCCCTGTAGCAGCTCAGGCTAATGATGCAGCGAAAATTGGTCCACTAATTTCTGAAGATAAGCCTTTGTATGTAAGGAGAGGTCGTAGTCAAGGTGGGTCTGGATATTTATCACCATTATCCGAATCGCCTTCACCTGGACAATCTCAAAGGAGGGAGGATTCGGACGCTGAATCAGAGGGTTCTCGTCACTCGGGACGATCGAGATTCTCCAGATCTCGGGAACAGAGCAGGTCAGGCGAAATGGCTGTCAAGGATTCGCGCAAATCTGACTCAGAGGGTTCTCAGTACACCGCAAGACCAGGCCTAGGTAGCTATGAAAATGGCAACCAAGGTCCTGTTTACCAGCAAGTCCCTGTGAATCCCGGCATTAGAAGACCAATTGCGGGACCGTCCATAGACAGCCGCAATATAAATGATGGTCCAAGACCTAGATTTCCAGGAGCACAAGGGAATATGCTCCCCACAGCACAACCGGTGGGTGCACCAGGTGTACACGATATGAAGAATCGGTACTTAACTGCTTCGCCAGAAGAGATGCTTCAAGGAGGTCCTGTCCAGTTCAGGCCTCCACACCTCCAGCCTCGTATGCAACCGGGTCCAAATCCTCGACCAATGCAGACCATCCTGCCGTATCCACCTAGGAATCCTCGGTATCCTCGGCCTGTAGGGCTTAACCAACCAAGCAACTTTGCATCGCAAGGACAAGCTCCCTTACAAATGCGGCCTGCGATTCAGCGTCCAACTGGACAAGTTCCCCTTGCTGGAGAGCCGCTGAGTAAAGAAGCACTTCTAGCAGCTCAGTACGGGAGGAATGTACGTGGCGATCCTTTACTGGTACGTCTTGAGGGGTGGTCTCGGCGTTGTAGTCATCGAGCTTATTCATCTTGAGAGTGGTGAACAGGGTTGAGTACCATTCTAATCTAGTTTAAATAATAACCATGAGACAATCTAATAACTATTAGTCTCAAGATTGTCTCATGGTCACTGTGTATTTTATGCATGTGAAAGTCTTTCCTTAGAAGATTCTTTCTACGTTTGAACTTGGGGATGTAGTGGTACTTAAATTCAATCATTTCGACGGCGATGAGCATGTGATTTTCTACGCAATCTTAGAAATTTATGCGGTTTTGGTCGTATTTTCTTCTTCACTGACTTGTGAGATCACGATGTGCAGCCTCAAAGCTTGGAAGGGGTCTCACCAGCATTAGCACCTCCCAGAATGACTAATGAAGTTGGATTTGGACCGCATGGTTCGCAGGATTCGGATTCTGCTACGGAATCAGAAAGCTCGAAGAAATCCAAGAGGTCTACGGTATCTAAAGACTCAGTCAAGTCAGGGACGTCGAGTGTGTCCGCTCGTGGTCCTCGTCCAAGGTCTTATCAACCAAGTCCTCTTGCACCTCACAAATATGTCCCAAAACGCGCCGTACAAGCTCGGCAAGAACCTTTACCAGGTCGCCAACATATGTCACCACCGGAATTTGTGCCAGATGAAGGAGACAGCAGCAGTGAGGAAGAGGACGATGCTCCAGTTGGTCCTCAAAGTGTCCCACGAGGTGCTCCACAACCTAGTTTCCAGAGTGCTCCACGAGATGCTCCACAATCTGCATCTGCTGCAGACAATCGAGACAATGCAGACAATGGAGACAATGGAGATAATGATGGAGGTTACTCATTGAGCCTTAATATTCAATTTGGAGGTAGTGAAGACAGTAATCAGGATTCCTCAGTTGTGCAAAAAGCAGACACTTCTATACAACAAGAAGTAACAGTGGAGCGAACAGTGGAGCAGACTGTTACGGTTGAACGAAGTGTTTCTGTTGAGCAGTCTGTTTCCGTTGAACAATCTGTTTCAATTGAGCAGAGTGTTTCCGTTGAGGTGGAGGCTTCGTACAAAGAAAGTGTTGAAGTTGAGACTTCTTACCAGCAGAGTGTTGAGGTTGAGACCTCGTACGAACAAAACGTTTCATATGAGCAAAGTGTTGAAGTGAATACACAAATCGAGGCTTCGTATGAGCAAGAGTATGAAGCCAAGGTGTCGTACGAGGAAAACCATCAAGTGGAAGCTTCTTATGAGGAAAACTATGAAGCAGAGGCATCGTACGAGGAAAACCATGAAGTCGAAGCTTCTTATGAGGAAAACTATGAAGCAGAGGCATCATACGAGGAAAATCATGAAGTCGAAGCTTGTTATGAGGAAAACTATGAAGCAGATGCATCATACGAGGAAAATCATGAAGTGAAAGCTTCTTATGAGGAAAACTATGAAGCAGAGGCATCATACGAGGAAAATTATGAAGTGGAAGCTTCTTATGAGGAAAACTATGAAGCAGAGGCATCATACGAGGAAAATCATGAAGTCGAAGCTTGTTATGAGGAAAACTATGAAGCAGATGCATCATACGAGGAAAATCATGAAGTCGAAGCTTCTTATGAGGAAAACTATGAAGCAGAGGCATCATACGAGGAAAATTATGAAGTGGAAGCTTCTTATGAGGAAAACTATGAAGCAGAGGCATCATACGAGGATAACCATGAAGTCGAAGCTTGTTATGAGGAAAACTATGAAGCAGAGGCATCATACGAGGAAAATCATGAAGTCGAAGCTTGTTATGAGGAAAACTATGAAGCAGAGGCATCATACGAGGAAAATTATGAAGTGGAAGCTTCTTATGAGGAAAACTATGAAGCAGAGGCATCATACGAGGAAAATTATGAAGTGGAAGCTTCTTATGAGGAAAACTATGAAGCAGAGGCATCATACGAGGAAAATTATGAAGTGGAAGCTTGTTATGAGGAAAACTATGAAGCAGAGGCATCATACGAGGAAAATTATGAAGTGGACGCTTCTCATGAGGAAAACTATGAAGCAGAGGCATCATACGAGGGAAATTATGAAGTGGAAGCTTCTTATGTGGAAAACTATGAAGCAGAGGCATCGTACGAGAAAAATCATGAAGTCGAAGCTTCTTACGAGGAAAATTATGAAGCAAAGGCATCATACGAAGAGAATACTGCATTGCAGTCTTCGTACGAAGAGGAATATGAGACAAAGACTTCATACGAACAGGAATATGAAGCGAATGTATCCTATGAAGAGGAGGTCCAATTGGAGACTTCTTATGAGGAGAAGTATGAAGCAGAGGTCTCTTATTCGGAGACTGTAGAAAGGGAGGTCTCTAACGAAGAAACTGTGAACACGTCTTATGAAGAAAATATTTCTTACGAAGAAACTCAAAATGTTGAGATTTCATATGAGGAGAATAATAATGTAAATACTTCCTATGAAGAGACCATTACTGTAACGGAGACTGTGACTTATCAAGAGACTCTGACGACAGATTCTAACGTCGATAAAGTGGATTCTGGGAATGCAAGCAATGAAGCAGCGGTGGGCGGTTTTGGATTTGGACTATCATTGGAATTTGCAAGCAGCTCCCAGGGGGCAGATAACACCAATCCTGGCAGAGTTCAAGATTTTGAAGAAGACACTACGCAGATGGTAGAAGCTACCAGGGATTGTGCTGCCGATGATGGCAGAGGTCAAATCGTAGAAGCGAAAAATCATAGAAGCTCGAAGAAAAAGTCCACGAAGTCTAGTTCAAGTTCCAGTTCCTCGAGCTCAGATTCTGATAGCGAAAGCGACGATGACAAAAATTCTCGGCGGGTGAAGGGTTCTCAACCCCCCAGTGGTCAGGATGATCTCTATCTTAGTCCTCCCAGGTATATTCGAACAGGACCGGGTAGTAGCAGGGTTCCCCAACCCCATTATCCACCGCCAAATGTAGGGGTTTCACAAAGTGACCGTATTGGCAACTGGCTCGAGGAGGTCACCTATGCGGAGCCAGTGCCTTTCGATGAAGACGTGACATACCACGCTCAGCCGGTAAATATGCCACCTCCCGCAAGAACTGATCGAAGACCAGCACCAGGAAGGCCACAACCTGCCGCTTACGACACCACTTATGCACCCTCGTCAGGGTATGATGAGTATGAAGAACCCATTCCATACGAAACGCATGACCAATTCAGTTATGATCCACAACCAGTGTACAGAGGTGCAGTGTCAGGCAATTCCCAAGGTTACAATCTCCCAAAAGGAAGTGCGGGACAGCAGTACAACCAACCTCACCAGGCCGTGCCTGTAGTCCCGGCTGGGCAGGTACCCATTACCAAAAAAGTGGGAAAGACCGTTTCAAACGCAATGCAGGGCATCTATAAGACTATGAAACAGTATGGGAACACTCTACAACCCCTTGTGGCGCCTATAGGCTTAGCCATGGCAGACGAGGCAAGGAGGGAAACTATGCAATTGGTTGGTCCAGCTGGTAGAGGACAAGATCCAGGTAAACATTTCACCATTCTCTTCTTTTACGCGTGTATTGCTGGATACCAGCTTGTTGGGTATAGAAAGTTCCACGTTCAAAATGAGGAACGAGAGCTACGATTCCTTTGTGAAAGGAATGAACCTACCCAAAGTCTGAAGATTTGCAACTCTCCCTACAATGGCGTCATCTTTAACCTCCATCTCGATGGTGATGGAAACCAATACTCATGTTGTGTTGTTTTTCCCACAGCAGCTATGTTCAATGAGTTGTCATATTTCGTAGTGATATTGACTTCCTTGAATTGTTCTTTATGCAGTTACAGGAGCTTTAATTGCTGGAATAGCTTCCAGTCTGCAGGGGGGTGCTCAAGGGCGAGGTCGCGGTCAAATTGGGCCCGGGCGAGGAAGAGGAAGAGCCCAAGGCCCTCCGCCCTCTGGTATGGGTCGTGCACGCGGAAGAGGGCCTTCGAGGCCGATGGGTGGTGGTCCTCCAAGAGGACCTCCAGGCCTGGCCGGACCACCTCGAGGACCTCCGGGCCCTCCCAGAGGACCACGCCCTACGGGGATGTGTCCTCGAGGTCCTCTCCCCATGGGAGGACCTCCTCGCGGACCACCCATGGGAGGAGGCCCCCCGCGACGTCCCCCACCTCCTGGCATGAGAGGTCCACCTCGGCCAGAAGTATACTGAAGCGACACGACTGCAGCCTAGACACGCGCACAAATTCTCCACCCAAAGCGAAGAGAGTAAGATTTTGGTTGAGATTGCATTGAATCCTGCAGTCCATTGTCGATCTTCTGCTTTTAAGACTGCCCGAGGAGAAGGGAACCTCTGCATGGAGAAGTCGATGCATCCTCCACCGAGTCATGCCCGACGGTTCCGAAATGCAGAACCATGTTGGGCTGAAGCTCAAGTACAAGCATAGACAAAACTGGCCGGAGATCTTCACTTCAATGGATACACTTAGCTAATGAGAGGTTCACTAGATCCGTGGAAGGAGAGCAACATCAGGTCTTCCTCGCTTTTCGTGTCGCCGTTCATCCTGAGATATACACCGGCATTTGGGCGTCGAGTACCGTAAATTTCTACCGTGTAGATGTGTCTGTGAACTGGTGGGTGGAAACCTCAATTATTATCGACATGGAACTACTCTTGTTGCTGCTTCAACTACTGTAAAATTTATCTCGACACTTCATCTTTTAACACTTTGTTAGCACATTCTAGGCTAAAACAGCATACACAACTAGTCTGCCACCAAATGGCATAACTAGGTAATAAAAATTATTACGTAGACAAAAAAAAAATTATTGCCAAAATTTTAATTTTTCATTTAAACATTGTTGTGCTATGTGAGCTCTAGCTTAGGAATGTCAAGCATCTGTCAAGAATAGTAATTTATCTTGATTCTAAAATTCTTTTTACAATTTAAAATATATAATGAGTGTTATGAAACATTTGTCTTGAAAAGCTTCAAAGATCCTAAATTATCAATTCTAAATCTTATTAATTCTAATTCTAATATCCAAGAAATTCTAAAGAAGTTAAAAAGTTCCAAGAAAATTCTTACAAAATCCCAAAAGTATTCTAAACAAATCTCAAATAAAGCTTAAAAAAGCCCACAGAAAATCCTATCAAGTGCAAAGCTAACTGTAAAAAAGATTCTAAAAAAACCCAAGTAAATCTTTAGCATCAAGAACTTGAACAAGCTGTGGTGTTTTTCTATTTATTTCATTGTTGATTTAGCTTCAAATCATTACGCTTTTACACCTCTTTCATCAATTTTGATTTTGCACTTCTAGCCATAATTTCTCTTCTTTTTGCAACTAGTTTGTAATAAAATTTACCATGAATCTAATACTTGAATCTAATACTTTAATCTAATGCATGAATCTAATACTTGAACTGATCCTCTAATTTACAAATTTCTAGCTCAATTTTGGTTACAAATCTTTACAAAGAGCTGATATTTTTACTAACCTTCAAACTACCAACTATTGATGCCCTATTGTAGTTTTGTTTCAATAATCTTTAATCTAACCAACATCTAATTCAACTAAATCTAAAATTAAGATACTAATTTAATACAAAATACATCCAATTATCTATATAAAATTGACCATAGAATTAGCTCAAATTTCAAGGTATAGCTGAAATTATAGACCCTAATTTATTGTTTAAAACATTGTTATTATAACAAAAAACTTGACTTCAATTAGCTCTCACAAATTAATTTCAAACTAAATCTATATATCTCTAATTGCTCTAAAACTCTTCTAAAGTTTCATCTTTAGTTTTGTTTTCTAATCTACAAAAAATATCTCCATGATTGCCATAGGTACCTAAATTTGTGCAATGGAATTTAGGTTTGATCATGTCTTACAAACAATCTTTTCCAAGTGTCAATCTTATCTTTTCTATGAAAACTTTCACAAAAAAACAATTCTTAGATTTGACCTAAAGATTTCTATATATATATATATATATATATTTGAAAATTTTACTACATCTTATGACATTTATGCCCTGCAAAGTAAGTATAAATAAATTTTATAAAAATAACAACTTAAAACATTAAAATATTTTACTTATTCCAATCTATTAGTTATAAGTTCAAAAAAAAACTCTCCACTAAACTTTCAATTAATTTTTTTATACATACAGTTGTTATCCATCCTTTTACCTTATAATCAAATTATAAAGTCTACAATTATATTATTAAACAATATTTAGCTATAATTTTAAAATGATAAAACCATCTACTTTTTTTTATTAAAGCTAAAGTATTTTCTATACATTCAAAACTTTGAATATTATCTACATTGATATTTTCTAATATTTAATTTATTTTTTAAAAATAAACTACAAAAAATTCATGGAATTAAAAAAATAAAAATAAAATTTAATTTTTAAGGTATTTTTAAATTCTTCATAACTAGAATTATGACGTAATATATTAAATTGAAAGTAGAAATTAACTAAATTAAAATGTATTGATAGAATAAACTTGAATTTGTATTTTCATCAAATTAATGCAATAAATGCCACAGAATATGCATGTAAAGAAAAAAATAAAAATAATTATATATATATATATATATATATATATATATATTACATAGGTTTATTATTAGGACAAAGATATTCTACAAAAGAATACTTTAACCTATACAAATTACAAACAAAAGAACTAGGTAGCCAATTGTATTTTTAAAAGTAAAAAAAAAAAAATAGATTTTTATATATATATATATATATATATATATATATATATATATATATAACAAACTTATAAAATAAAGAAATAAAATTTTACAACAAATTAAGAAGTTTAAATGATAAAAGTTTTATTTTTTAAAGAAGTTTTTCAAATACGAATAAAATTATGTTTCCAAGGATAATAAAATATTTAATATCTTGGCCATCTTAGAATCAATAAAATTTACAATTATTTATTAAGCCAATAGTATAATAAATTTTCAAATATATATATATATATATATATATATATATATATATAATAACTTTGTATCAAATATGTATTAGAATTTAGACTACTTATAGTACATCATTACTGACTTTGCAATCAATTTCTATTATACATTTAAAATATTAATAGTATTTAGACTTAGCAAATCTATTATTAATAATAAAAATAAGAAAAAATACTTTTGTCAATTATAATCATATTTAATTTAAAATAAATAAATTTGATGTATTTTAATATCTTTTTTATAATAAAAATATTATAAGAACTTCAACTTAAATTCAAATTTGGCTCAAAAATAATTTAATTTTTTATTAAACATGTTAATATGGTCACATCCTATCTATATTTTTACTTATATTATAAAAAATATGTACTTTAAATATACAAATTATAAACATGTAAATAATAAATATATAAGATGATATTATATAATAAATAAAAACAAGTGTATAAATATTATATAGAGATTTTTCAATGAATTACATGTATAGCATTTGAAAACCTTTTAATTAATCAATACCAAGACATTCTTTATTATGGCATCATTAGTGAAAGAAGTTAGTAGTTAAAAATTTAGAAATTAGCAATAGAAAGTTATATTTTATGACCTAAAGTAAATCCCTACTAGTTGACAATTTAATTTAGTTCATAGCACTTAAATTATCTATGTAATTTTATTAATTGTATCTATTGCTTAAATCCTAACTAATTCATTCTTTAACTTTTCTAAATTAATTCTTTAATAAGTAAAAACTACCACTATTATTGTACTTTTCATACAAAATCATTCAAATAATTCATATATAATTTTAAAAAATATTTTATTTATTTTCTTTTTTTATTTAATTTTTATTTTTTATTTAAATTTATTTTTTTATAAAAGTTTATTCAAAAATAAAAAAATCATTTGTAATAATATTTCATCTTTAATAATAAAATCATCTAATTATATTCATTTCTTCTTATCCTAATTACATCTAATTCAAGTTTTATTCATGTGCAACTTCAACACACTAAGATTTTTTCTATTCACGGATTGCCTACTCAACTACAATTCTTAAAGAGCATCAAATCTATTTGTCAGTTGACAAAAGATTCATAATTCTTGAACTGCAACTTCAATTCCTCAACTAGTGGTAGCTCCATATCTCCAATTCCATCAATCTATTTTTTTATTCTTCAATAGAATGCATCTTCACTATGATTTGTCTTATATAATTATCTTTTCTACTAAACAACAGCTTAATTTTCATATTCAAATAACTCACTAAAAACTAAAATGCTTTTAACACAGCTTTCTCAAATCTCAATATCATATAAATTTTCCTTTCTACAGTATAACAAAAATACTAGTACAATCTTTGAAACAAATCACTTATGAAAACCACTATTCAAGTACATAGCAAAAAGATTGTAGTGAGATTCAAGAAAGGTCTTTTAACAAAAGCAATGCTGCAAAAACATAAAGCCAAGGAAGGATGCTATGATATTAATACATGGATCATAAAGCAACAAAAGAAAGATCCTTCTAGAGGCAATAATGAGCTCATAGGCTAGATTCTTTGATCAATGATAAGAATCTCGATGCCTTTTAGCTTCATAAACTTGATGTTGGCAATTGTATATGCAATGGCAACTTTTTCCTTATTCTCTCTTAAGTCAAATGTTGTAAATAATCATTTTTCTTCTTCTCAAAATTTAAGGAGAAAAAAAAATTCAAAAAAGCTTAATTCCAGAATGTAATGACCTTTAATCTATTTTATTGTAGAATTATCAACAAAAATACTTGTATATCTATACAAAAGCACTAGCAAAATTTTCCAAGGTTCTTCGTCAAGAACTCTCCTAATTCATTTTTGGTAGTGATTCCTAATCCTATCACCCTATTCTTCCACTATAATATCTATAAGAGTCTACACATGCTACTTTCTTGATTTTTTTGTCAAGGACATGAACTGGAAGAAGATGTATAAATCTAAAAAAATTATGTTAAAAGAAAAGTGATAAAATAGCAATAAAGTAGTATGTATATTAAAAAAAAATGGAATGGCTATTGCCAAAAGACAAGGAAACCAAAGTCTCTTAAATCTAGACTAGAAGCAACAAAGAAGTTGACAAGAGTGAAGAAGACTTCACTCTTGCCTTTATATATACTATCTAACTAAGAATTATGTGGCAATGTTCTATAGGACCTCTAATATGTGTTGACTTTGCACGACACATGTTTTAACTTACAAGATAAGTTTTCTACATGTGAGCCACATAGTCAACTTGTTCTTCAAGCTACCAACATATGTGGCACATGGCCAACTTATTGACTATATTTTTAACTAAAAAATTAATTATAGATACCTATAAAGTCAAAGCAGTATCTATGAAGCTTCTAAGAGACTTCTATAGAAGATATTATGAAATTAATCTACTTTTATCTACTTTTATTTAATCATATAGATAATTATTGATTTACATCTGTATGTCAATGATATTACCTCTCTTTTTAGGGACGAATTCTATAAAGAGCGATCTTCATATATTGAAAAAATCCAGGATGTGGCAAATTGTATTTGTCACATATTTCGATCTTTTTTTTCTTTGAAGATAATTGATAAGCCCTCTCAGCCATCAATAGTATCATATACTATGGTGAAAAGACCACCCTATTATTTGGTCATTGTTGAGGCCTTCATAACTTTCTTTAAATAAAATATTTGGAACATCGTTAGGAGTTGTTCTTACCTCTAATAAGTTCACCAAACATTGAGAGTCTCTTCTAAGGTCGTGATACCAAATACATTGTAGACTTGATTTGCTACAAAATATATGAAGGCAATAGATTTATGGGTGAAAT